GAAACTAAAGATCTTGTGCAATAATAAATGAAATACGTTGTAGAGTAGATGTAATTATTTTTTGTTTCTTTTAAGCTCTCTGCAAAGAAAGAAAAGTAAACGTATCTCTTGGTAATGAATGATTATCCTTGGTCTTTTGTATGTTTTGTAAGAATTTCGCATGGAACCCTGGTAGCGAAGGAATTCTGGGAATGTTGCACCAGAAAATTTGCCTGACGTATGTACAGATTTCATTCCGAATTTTCTCTGTTCTTACACGTTAGTCTATTGAGCTCGCTTCGCGAGCGGCGCTTCGCTGCGCTCGCTGCGCTCGCTATTAGTCTACATTTTTATTAAAATCTAAATTTACATTTTTATTTCAAAATGAAATGGAAATATAAGGAATCACTGTCTAGTTAGTAGAGTATGCCAGGGACATCAACGATAGTTGGAAACGTGGGATAATTTGTGCATAACGGGCTTCTATGGCACGCCGATTGCTTCAAAATTATTTTCTGCACAACGATCACGATTTTATACACGAGCTTGATGAAAAATATACACGAGTAAAATAAAAATGCACGTATCGGTAAAAATTGCACATAGTTTGAAAGATTTTAACACAAACATAACGAAAAATACACGAATCCGAATTTTTTTACACGATTAAGGGGTATAAAATGCACAAACGTAATATCAAAAACTGCACGAGCAGAGGAAACTAAAAATTACACAAACAATTTTACTGCGCATACAGCTGCGCATATCATTATTATGCATATAGAATATTCATTGTGTTCTTGGTTTTCTGTACTCTTTATCTCTTCATGAATGCTGGGTGTAATCGAGAGAAAATGGCTTTGACGATGATATGCATGTTTGTTTGCTTCTTTATTTCTTTGCTAAAACTCGATCCGATTTCTAGCTAATGCCAATCGAACGAATGAAATGTTTTCTTGTGAACTGTGTGAAAAAATTTAAAAGTTGTTCGGAGATATTATATTTTTCTTATATTACCGAGATCCTAGCCAAAATATGGAGGTATTATATGATGCCGGACATAAATTGTGACAAGAAAGGAATTGCATGTTTGTGTTATAATGCGGGGGAAAAAAAGTACCATTGCATATGATGCACTCGACTCCGAACTAAAAGTAATACGCTCTATGGTCTTTTAAAATTCTCTAACTTATAGATACAACTTTAACGGAAAGTACTTGTATAAAATAAAATTAACACATGCGTAATAAAACAATTAATAACGTGGATTCTTCATGAAAATGATGGCAGAATTATTGCTGATTATAATTATTAAATTGTAGAATTTATTTTGGTACTTCTCATTTGTACTAATTATGAATTCATTTGGGCAGATTTTTTTCATTTAGGAATAGGAAATTATTCAGTTGGCTGGATATATTTTTTATTTTCAAAAAGATTAAAAAGTGGTAATTACCTGACCTTAGATATACACAGTATGTTTTTAAAGTCAAACATAAAAAATATTTTATTTCTAATTATACATGTATCTTTACTTATAAAATATGAGAATATCAATTTTGGTTGGACATCTGTAGCCTACACTGTTATGAATTCCTTCCATGATATCGCATATTTTCTGTCATAAACTACTCGACAAAAAACAAGACATTCCTAAGGGTAACCGTTACCCTCATTCGTAATGGCGATTACTTGATAAATGTTTTCACTTTTAATAAATAGGACCAGATAAAGGGAAAATATATATACTCTATGTGCTTTAGTACATGCGGTTTTGTGTTTTGTTACTTAAAATTTGTCCAAATGAAATAACAAAACTCTACTCAAATGATCCTGGCACCGGTAAAACATATCAACAGTGGCGGATCTGGTTCGTGGATTGATAGAGTAGCAACATCTGAATCTATGTATTTATTAAAGTTTCAAATCGTTGGACCATAATGACACATCAGAAATTTTAAAACATAGTGAATTACTAAATACATCTACGTACAATGTTACAAAGAAGAAAATGGGAATGGATATTATAATAAATAGAAAGAACAAAGAATGCTGTATCACTCTTAAATAATGCAAATAAATCATGTTCTTTATGGAGCTCGAGGTTTGACAAATATTTTCCAAGACAACAATTTCTCTTTACATTTCGAATTCGTATGCATAAAATTTTAATTATTTTCCGAACACTAAGTTTTTGTAATAGGCTAACACTTTTTTACCCAAATCTATAGTCATTATAAAAAGAACATGACTGTATAATTATAAAATGAAAATAATTTTCAATAACATTCAAGGAACATATTTGATACAAGATTCACTTTTTAAAAAGACTATTCATGTGCATATCTAACGTTTTTGAAAAATCAGATTATGAGTTAAAAAGCCTAATCTATGCAATTTGTATTTTGTACGTATACATGTACAAATAATTAAAAAGTTTGCTTTATAGCAATATTGTACATGTGTATCAATGGCATCAACCAGGTCTTGTTTTACTTCGAGCATGACTACGAATAAATATAAGAAAACATATGATGAATATAAACCTCAAGAAATCTTTGTTTTATTACCGTGTGTTTATTATTGTCAAAATCTGCATTGAAAATAAATGTGCATGTGTAGCCAAGTCCCAGCTAATTAAGTTCATCTTGTATGTCTTCTTGAATTTGGTCTTACAATATCGTTACAGTTCAGTTGAATTGCAATCCTGATTTCGATAGACTATTTTATGTACCCTTAAATTCTTAGAAAATATTTCAGGCACGTAGCATCAGGAGGGGTCTGCCCCCCCCCTCCCCACTTTTTTTCCAAACATAACCTTCTTCTATTGTAAATTTCCACTGAAAAGCTGGTTGCCCCCTCCCTTTGTTGTAGGATAGTTTAAATCAAAGTAATTTGGTATTATAATGTGTTTCGAAAATCCTTGTTTTGTTTTTTCAGGTAGGTTGTCAAAAAAAAAATCTGACTCCCCCCCTCCCCCCTCCCCCGCTTTCAAAAACGATACTACTTGCCTGTATTTTATAATTTTAAATTTTCTTAACTCCTTTATATGCATTTTAACTATTCAAAATAGACTACCGCCGATACATTAAAAACAACATAAATTAAACTTTAATTTACATAAGTAAAACGACTGTATATTTTTTCTACATTTTCATGGAGTTTTTATAAAATCACCACACGTTGCTCAAAAGTTAAGACTACATGTACTACATGTACTTTGTTACATACATATACCAAAAAGTGAGATATGCGTTTCAATATTAAAATTTAAGTATTTGCTCGATTTTCTTTACTGTTGACTTCCAAAAAGTTTTCGGTCAAATTCCACAACCCAGATGATCGCACCATTGCTTCAAAAAAAAATTTTTGAATTGCTAGTAATATAATCTTTAATCAAAAGGTATTTTTGGTGTGTCAAATAGCTATAAATCGATTAGCGTACATGTGTCTTTCGTTCCAGAACCAGCAGGGAAGGATCTCTGTATGAAACATCCTTGATTATTACCAAAAGTACACACCGTAGGTGGAGGAGGAGAAGAGTTTGATTTGTTGTTAACTCTCCTGTATTATATCACATGTTTTTATTTATTTTTATTTAGGCCTATATGTCATTGTTTTAATCTTTCAAAAGAAATTGCTATTTAGAGGAATGACATACTTTAAAAAATCCAACAATTAAACACACAACTGGTAATATGCATCTCCTTTTTTTACGTTATCTATACAAGTATTCTGTGAAGAATGTTTTTTATTCGGGGTTGTTCATATACTACAAGTTTTTAAAAGATTGTGTGCCTGTCAATTTATCTACATGTATAATATACGTTGTACATATATTCTTGAGAGTCTAGCGGAATTTTAAAAGAATCTTTTTTAAAAAGATTACCAACACGTTACTCCTCCTTTTGTAAAAATTTTATAGTATGTTTCAAGCATCCAAACCACATTGAACTGTTCTCTAATGAATATTAATGAAATGTGCGCAATGAGGATGCGTAGCATATTATGTCGATGTTGTATTCTCACTCGTGCAGTTTTCGTTTTTACGTTTGTGTAATTTCCTCACTATATCGTGTAAATATTTTGTTGATTGTGCAGTTTTTCTATAGTTTGTGTAAATTTCAATAGCTTCGTGTATATTTTCCTCACTTTGTGTTAGTTTTTACTTACTCGTGTAATTTTTGTTTTAGGTCGTGCAGAAAATAATTTTGAAGCAATCGGCGTGCCATAGGCTTCGCCCGTTATGCAAATTATCCCACGTTTCCAACTATCGTTGATGCCCTGGCATACTCTACTAACTAGACAGTGATGCCTTAAATAATACTAAATAAAAACTTATTCATTTAGTATTATTCCGATATCACCTGTACTCAAAAGCCATGCACCATTTCATAAAATTCAGATGGGTTAACGTAGTAAAGGAAAAAGTTATTTTAAAGATCGATTGTAGATTTTACAGTTTTTATAGATCTTTTTTAACAGATAAAATGAAAAAAGAAAACTTTCTCAAACTCCTGTCGTGCTGACTTTATGTAACAGCCAAAATATGACAACAGTTTACACTGGCAAGTGATACTTCAAACTTTGAAATATCGGAGTGGGTATTAGGCATGTCCCCAAGCTTCAGATAGTTTATTGGTTTGTTAAATTGTAGCTTTATTGCTAGAGAGTTTTTTTTTTCTGTTAGAATACTTATGTACTAAGTTTATTAAAAAATTAAAATGAAATATTTATGTTCAAGATAGCAGCGTTATTTCTATAAATTTCCATAAGAATCTCAATGTTTAATCATTGTGACAGTCAAATTTGTGCACAACTTATAAGGCTTCTAAAAGCTTCTCATTATTCATGCGTATAGTAACGCCAAAGTACGTATTTTTAGAGTAAACTTTTTTTCTCGTGTAGCAATTATTCTATTCATATATTAAAATCTTCATTATGAAAACCGAGAACGAAGATTTTACAGACAATAGAAATTCTTAAGACATTTGGAACAACATTCAATACAAGGAAAAATGAAATATTTTCAATAAGCTCTGCTAAATTGAAAATATGGCAAAAAATTCTTGTAAAATAATATAGAATATCAATCAAGACATAACTTTTTCAGTACATGTGTATAATTTTTAAGGTCCTCCAGCAAGGAAGTCCAATTGTAACTCTACTTTCTCCCCAGATGTTTCATCTATTCCTTCCACGGTTAGTTCTGTACCTCCAAATCTTAACAGTGCACTGACTTTTCGATCCAGTCCCTTCTCAACGTTTGGCATATTGACAGTCAGCACACCAAGATATTTGCAGTTTTCTTCGTCTGTATATTGAGGAACACTTCCCTTTGAGGCATATACCCTAATAGCTGCAGAAGACTGCTCGGGATAAAGTGGAACGTACGACTTTTTAACTGGTGGTTGATGAATGCTGATTATCTTGCCTCTTTTAACGTGCAGGTCAAAGACATCTTTGCAGTACAATTTCCCATGAATAAGTTCTTTCTTGGACTTTGGATGGATTTTGGCATCAAAAGGTCGGTTTATCGCCACTCCATACGTGTATTTAGCGGCTCTGCCTTTGATAATGGTTGGATCATGTCCATACAAAACAGCCCCTTTCAGAACAGATAAACCTGCTTCGGATGGTGTCACAACTTTGCATCGAGGAAAACTTTCCTTTATCCTCCTTTGTAACAAATCGCATTCAGAGAAACCACCGACCATTAAAATAAGATCGGTACCCCTGTTACATTCTGAATTCATTATCTTTTCTACTTGTTGTGCTATTTGCATGATGACATTATCAAACAACCTCTGGTAATTTGACGGAGGCATTTGCATTTTTTCTCGCCTCCATTTAATATCTCTATTTTCTTCGGACTTCTCGGTAGTTTGGCTGATAGTTTTGTTCAAATTGTCCTGTACATATGTTAGTAATGATGCTGGGACAGACAAACGCACAGTACTGTTTTGCGTTTGTCTTTTCTTCTTTTCAAAAAATCTTAACAGTTCTATATAATCACTAGTGTGGTTTAAGCGATAGGCCTCCAGAATTGGTTCACTAACGATGTCTTCAATCACTTTCTCGAATTCTTTGTCAACATAAATTCCGCCCCAGTTGCCGCCCTGCACATGGTCAATCTCTTGTAGTTTATTGTCATCTGTTACTTCTTGGACAGCCATATCTATGGTTCCTCCTAACAATGAAGACAGTATTTATATAATGGTTTAGTACATATTCGTGCTCATTTCCGTCTTCCTTGGTTTTTTTTTTTTTTTTTTTTTTTTTTTTTTTTTTTTTTTTTTTACATTTTAAATAAGTATTGTGCAGTCTTCAGACTATACGCTTCTCCTCTCCTTAAAATGTACAATGTGAAATTTTTTGAACTTTTGTAGCAAACATAAGAAACATTTTCTATATTTTTTCTGATCTATACAGAAATGATTTCTTCTGCGTGCAAACGGGACGGGTGAGACAGGGATGTTTTTGTTTTTATTAAACTTCGTTTTAACGTTTGTTGTTTTGTTATTCTTGTTTTTGTTTGTTTGTTTTTACTTTTTGTTTTTGTTGTTTGGTTGGTTTGGTCTTTAAAAAATACCTGTCTACAATGGTTCTAAAACTTATTCTTGCCATTTTTTGATTTAAATGAATAAAAGCTTTCATATATATTCCAATATCTCCTTCTTTCCCTCGTACCTCCAGCATCTACCACAACAAATCTCCTGCCTGGTTGAAGTGCGTGTAAGGTTGCGTCTTGCTCCAGTCTTTCAAGAGGAAGGTATTTACAGTAAACAGACGCTGCTTCCGGCTCCAGGCAAATCATGAGTCTATCACCAGGTAACCCAGCCTTAAAAAAATTTAAAAATTCATTTTTACCTAGAAAAATATTTTGCAATTCGTTTTCTCGTACATCTTTTTCATCACTGTATTTTGTTATTTTTCAACTTTAAAAAATGTTTTTGTAAGTTATTCAGTTGTGATCGTACTCTACAATACCGGTATACCTTTTACATTGCCTTTATTTTGCATTGCTAAAGAAGCTTATGAAACATGGAGATAACGAACAGTAGTCAAATTCAAAGTCCATTGAAACCATACAAGGTGAAAGCAGAGCAAACACGGATCTCTAAAAATACCAGAGGTGGGATCAGGTGCCATGGAGGAGTAAGTATCCCTGTCGATTGGTCACACCCGCCGTGTGCTTCATGTCATGATCGGGCAAACGGAAAAATCCGTAGACAATTCAGTGTGTAAATAATGGCCTAACAATTTGTATGGAAAACGTCAGCCAACATTCGACTTAATGATATATTTTATTTCCTGACAAGGTCATTGTATCGACCATAGAATTTGCAAAATGTAAACTTTAAACGAGACTGTTGATATCCTTGTTTCATTAATTTGTTTGTCAATAGCTTGTCTCGTTTTAGAAATTGTTCGTACGTACAGCATGCTCTTGCGTATCGAATCTCTTGATACACATAAACTCCATTTGCAGGTGATATGAGTTTAATGCTACATAAATAAGGGATGCTAACGATATAAAAGTTAAAGTCATCACATTTATCATAAAGTTTTATTAAAACTTTTATTAGAAAATATCCAAATATGAAACATATGTGTCAGACTCTATGGTATATATGAGTTCAAAGAGATATATCGAATCAACGTAGGAATGAGAATGAATATTGTTAATTGATAAAACGTCGTCGATATGTCTAAATGTTGAATTGAGCCCTCTTCTTTTATGAAGAAATTTTTTAATAAATTCTGCTTTATATTTAAAAAAAAAAAAGGTCTGCTAATAACGGGACCCATGGGAATTCCGACAGACTGTTGGAAGACTTGATCTCTAAAAACTGAATAGATACTGTCAATCAGAAACTCAACCACGTTTTCAATATTAACTTCGGAGTACTTGTGTATACAATCAGAATGTATTTTGCAAATTACCTATGACAAGATAAGTAAATTTACGAGTTCCATTTTATTGAAAAGCAGCTGTCTCTCGCGGGGAGTGGTTAAAGTGTTTAAAAGTTGTAGGTTTTGATGTTATTTATTTTGGTAAAATTTTGCGATTTCAAATTTTCTAAATGATATCCTCATTTGATTTATACGACTTCTGTACAATACTCATAAGTCTTTTTCTAATAATTCAGTTTTCCGCAATATCTATCGATCTTTGTCTATCTATCTAGGTAGGTATACTAGGTAGATAGGTAAACATCGAACTGCTCGGAAATGAACACTTATGAATTTAACTTTTTCTCTGATGTCTTTTTTTCTCAAAAAGAAAAACTATAAACACAATACTCAAAGCCCTATCAGATCCTGATCACTGAACTGAACTTGACTGAGGACTCTCTTAATCGATCTTGAATATATTTACTATATACCTGAGTGGCTGCTAATCTCATGAACTGTTTAGCAGCGTCATCCCAGATGGCCGGAACGGTCAAAACCCACAAGATTTCCTTATCGACATCTACTTCGTTCTGTAAGCTCCTCTTCTTAAATTTATCAAAACAGTTCTTCTTAAGGAACTCGATGGAATGGGAGAAAACATGCAAGGCTAACAACTCTTTGTTCCTGATATCTTTTATCTTAGTATTTCTTGTAAGAGCCTGGAAATAGAAATATTCATTGCATTACTAATGTCACAGAGATTGACAATACTTTGTATTACTATTGTTTCACCAATGTCAGATAGATATCCAATATCTTGTATTACTAATGACATTAATTAGGAATCAATGAATTTTATTTCCAATAAAAGATTTATAATACTTAGTAATTCTGATGTGAAATAGATAAACAATAACTTTCACCATGATCGGATGGATTCACATAAACTGACGATGCCTTACATTAATACCGATGTCAGATATATTTTCAATACTGTCTATAATCTCTAAAATTGAGGAATTACCAAACTTTTTTTTTTAAACGATTGTCTCAGATTTTGTCCTGTATGACTTCCTTACATTTGTAATGCTTAAATTTTATTTTTTGTTTCCTGCATACTTATTTTTTCACCCTTATCTTCTCTGCATTTTTATTTTCGTTATATTTCCGGAATAGTGAAATAGTTGAGGTAATAACGTACAGTCACATAAGAAGAGTAAGATACTAGTAAAAGGAACAGAACAGATGCTAATCGAAAACGGAGAGGAAACGGTTAATTTGTCAGAATACTCGAAATAACGAACGTTGTATGCAGTGATATGTCATATTCAGGCGTTACCATGTGATCAAATAATGGGAGCGGAAAACACGTTCCCCTACTTAAGACGTCAATTGATAATAACTAACCAACGTACCACGGTTCTATCTTCATCATAAAGAGCCATTTTGAATCGTCTGAAATAGAAGTAGCCATCTTTTTCTTCCTCGGGCAGACGACTGTAAATGTCTTCTGCTTCATATCCAAACGCTACAAACTCTTGGCGACTGTCCGGTTCAATGTGCTTCAACAAGAGAGTAGTTGGTGTTTTGTCTGACAATAAATCCCCTGCTTGCCATACGTTGGTTACGATTTTTTCAATAGGGTCCTCAGTGAAGTCCCCTCTAGTTGAGAAGGCATAGCCTGAGTAGGTGGTTCCAAAGTCAATGGCGACCACAAACTGGTGATTGCTATCTTCTCTTGACATCTACCATAGATTTTTTTAAAGTTTAAGCGTAAAAGAAAACATTTCAGATTATGCATTTTTTTTGTGTGTGTGTGCTAATTATTGTCTATGATTAGAAATGCAAAGGTGTGAAATAGCAAAGACGGATTCATTGCGCATTTGACTCATATCGGTAACATTAAAACTGAGAAAAAAATTGTATTGTCTTATTCTTGCAGCTCTTGAAGATACTGAGTAGTTCTGGGGTCTTCCCTGACACAAGGTATACCATTATTTGATTCAATCAAAAACACTTCATGCAAATATGACAGCTCTATATATAATTTTAAAACATGATTACAAGTTACCCTCGTTTAAAAAAAATAATATGGTCACTGTAGAATGATTGTCTCTGTCTGAGAACTTAACCAATCTGAACTCTTAAGCTATATCAGAATGGGTACATAAGTATTTATATCCTGATTATTGAAATCAAATGCGAAATCAAAATTGGGCTAATTAAACAAAATCTTCAAATACATAAAAAGGTATGAAAACAAGGAAATGGAGTTTAACTAAAGGCAAAAAAGAGGATATATTAGAATGAAAATACCATAACATGTTGTATTCCGAAATATCTGACGTTTTCCCGGATTTTTTATTTTACGAGTTTTACTGCCAAGTCAAATATCAAAGTCGTAAAGAGAAAGCATGGAATACGTAAGATATTTCGGACTACATGTACATGTTGTAGGGTTGACTCTACGTTAACGAAGTACAAGGGATCATGGGACAAGACTATGATACAACATATGTAGTTTATATATACATTTCAACTGTAGCTTTCTGTTTTTCATGTAAATTCTTAAACCTCAGATATGGTTTTAGTCTTGAAAACGTATTTATAACGTACATTACGTACATTAACGTGGGTTAATCTGATCCAAGTGTGAAAAGAAAGTGGTGTAGATGTTTTCGTATGTTAAAGATTGTGTTTTTTTTCTGTTTCAATCTCAAATGAAAATCCTATCTCTTTAGAGAAGGGGACAGGCTTTAGCCTTCATCCACTACGAAGTGGATAAAGGCTACTGTAGATTCCCAAATATAAGCGAGGAATTAATTATCGCGTAATTTTGCGAATTTAAGCACCACTCGCGAAATAAAATAACTTGCTTTATTTTTATGGTGCTGAAATGCATGTAAATCTCTTGATCAAACGTCCACTCGCGAATTGTTCTCGCGATTTGACATCTATATAAGGGCCAATTTGGGATAAAAAGTACTAACGTAAAATAAAGAATCTACAGTATTTAAAGCCTATCCACTTCTCTAAAGAAAATATTGAAAAACCCAACAAAACTTTGCCACACATACATATATATATTAAAAGGTAATTCATTTTTTTATGTAAAATCATCAAAACGAAAGTACGAGATAAACATTTTAATTATTCTAACTGTCTATTGAGAATTAAAAGTTATTTAATTAAATAAATATGAATTCGTTTATGATAACCTACCTGAGGAGTGCTTTCACAGAAATCACTTCGTAGTAAATACACCTAGAAGTGTCATGTGACACGTAATTAAATACATGTAGTCTAGTTTCGATTTGAGTGCTTGACGAACTTCCTTCTTTTGCTGAAGAAGAAAGATGGCAGAGAGCATACCAAAAAATTAAAGTCATGCAGAATATTTGACTGTAACATTTTCTGTATGAATTGAATATGTGCTAAACATTTAATTTCTGCTATATACTAAACCATGCAGAGGTCTCTGATGAGGCAGTAGTTCTACTGGTTTGGACTTATCATAAAGGGAAAAAATAATGTAGCGCTTCGATTTCGACCCAAGGAAGGTGTTCCTTTAAAAACTATATTCTTTATGACAAGAGGCCCAAGAGCCTTAACGGTCACCTGAGTATAATGTAAAGATCCATAGATTAAAACAAAATAAGCTGATAAATAAAGCTGTGTTGTCCAAAAGCAAAAGAAATAGGATGATCAGGGATCAGCAAAATATTAATTCAATATTCAATTCTTAATAGTTGATCTATTTATTTGCTTGTACTTTCCACCATTTTTCACTATCCTCATGCGGACTAAATAAAACAACAGTTCTAGAGCACTATTAGTTAACACATTTCTTCCCCACCTGGCTCACATCAGCCTCTCTTAGTCTTTGAAAATTATTTATTGTTCAAAGATACGGAATTTTTGTCCCATTTTCAACTTCTTTAGTTTTCAACAAATCAGAATGAAATTTAGAATATAGATAGGTATAATGGATTCTTTCATTATGCTAATGCAAGGACAAGCCTGCGCGTGTGCTGAAATCTGATTAGCTAAGGTTGTTTGTATTTATAACGTTCTTAATTGTTAATGAAAGAAGCTGAAATTCAGAGTATATATAAATAATACAAGTTCCTACATTATTCAATCATCAGGATGAATATGAGGACATGTATGCACGCGCGCTGATATCTGATTTTGTTATTCATGTTGCTGTATCATTCTATGTTTTCAGTGAAATTCTTTGGAATTTAAAATGGAGCTTTTTATTATGGCATTCTATAAGATTTTGTATGTGTATAATAGTAATTTTCGAAATCATGTGCTTGCACGTGTACTTAAATCTGTTTTGCTTATGCTCATTGTGGTATATTTGCCTTGTTATTTCTTTAAAACACTTTTGAAAATAAGTTTTTAAAATCTATAATACAAAGGTTTTGCTTGTTTTGTTGAAACATATAGGGAAAGGACCCAAAAGGGAGTAGGGGGAGCGTTTTGGGAACATCTGTAACGGTCTTCGTTACAAATTAGAACTAGTTAAAATTAAAGATATCTTCAGTTGGATTAAAGAGACAAACAATTATTTATACTGAGTGAGCAATTCTGCGGCCACATCAGTGCGCGCATTAGATGAGAGCAATAATGCCATTTTCAAGATCTTCAAATAATTAATGATATCTTTTAATTATTTGGGTTTATATTAATTTAAGTAAGTTCCAGGGCTAATAGAATAACCAGGGATGTATATACAATGTCTTACAATTTTAATCTGCATGCAGGCTCGTAGAACGCCGGGGGGGGGGGGGGGGCACTATTTTTCTAAGTATAGTACTTTGCTATAGTACATATGCTGGTGGCCAAAGTTGCCCCCCCCCCCCAATTTTGGTCGGTTTAGGGTTGGGTTTTTTTTTTTTTTGCTTGTCAGATTTTTTGGAATGTACGATCCTCTCCCATTCTGGCCGTGGTGTAGGAGAGAGCTTTGAGCGGACTCCGGACCGTGGCTTGAGACGACGGGGAGTTATAGTGAGAAAACAGCGTTACGCCGACAACGGGAGATAACTCTTAAGAATGTGAAATTCGTCTAAAGTGAAAGTAGCACGGTATAGTCAACGATAATGTTTGTTTTCCTGTCAGATTGAGTTGAATAATAACTATGCTTTGTGTTATCCCAATTCTACTAGCAGGTAATTCATTTTAACAGTTGAATTTGTGTTTTAAAATGCACTTTTTAATCAGAGCAACTTAGTGAATGTTTAATCATGTTATACAACAGTGCACAATGTATACACTGCCAGGTATAATCCATGAATATCAATGTGCCCCACACAATAACTAATCTAATCAAAACACCTCCAACTTTTGATCAAAGTATTCCTAAGATTTGGTCAAAGAGCCCTTAATGACTTCCAATGCATAACAGACATTAAAAACCTTCCCCTAGGATTGGTTAAACAAAAGGCCAATGGACCACATCGCCCACCTGAATACATTGGCTAGGATAAGAAGCAGAAATCAGTTCATTATTGAAATGGGGGGGGGGGGGGCTTAAATCAACACTACCTCAGGATGCTTCCATAGCGATATTACTAATCATGGCTTTGCTATTCTTAAACAGAGGAATTTTAAGATTTTTTTCTCCTATATATTCCCTTGTAAAACTGATCACTCATTGTGGCCCACCCTATATTTAAACAAATTTGAATCTACACTACCAGAGGATGCTTCTATAATAATATAACTAATCATGGCTTTGCTGTTCTTGAGCAGAAGATTTTTTTCAAGATGATTGCTATATTCTCTTTGACCCTCTGTTGTGTTCTCCCCAAACCCCTGGGGGTTATAATTTGAACTAATTTGATTCTACAATACCTAAGGTTGCATTTGTATACATATGGCTTATTATAATGGATTAGTTCTTCTTGAGAAGAAGATTTAGCTGACCCTGCCCACAGTGTGACTTAGTGTTCCAATATAAATACATATTTTCCTAATTTTTGGGGTTTTGTACATACTGTTAACATACTAGTATAACAAGTACTTTTGCCTGAGTACTATATTTAGCACCTTTGGCATGGATCAGTTTCTGCTAAATCAATAATATCTTGCACATAAAAATATGAATATCTACATTCAGAAATATGCTAATTAAATAAGATCTACATGTTTGCTACTATAAATTTGGAAAGATTTGCCTGTGGAAAAAATTTGCAAATTCTATGATCAGTATTAAAGTTTTGCAAAATTAAGATTTCATATAAGGAACCAACACATTTTAAAAAAATGATTTACTTCAGAATCTGTAAAAATAACCCCCATGCAAATGCTTTGTTTCGTGGCAATTACAAAATTTTACCCAGTAAAAATACCTATGTAAACTTTACAATAACTTGGTGAAAATCAATTTCCATCAAATATCATGCATGCTAAATATAGAATCTCCCATGGTTTGTGGTTGGATATGATTTTTTATCCAACAAGTTGTGTGTTTTTTAGGGATGTCAACGAATATTCGAGTAATCTACTATCGTTCGATCATACCGACAATTGACTATTTTTTTTACTCGGTTATTTGTTAAAAATTTGCTATTTAATAGTAATGTTGAATTCAACGTAATAAAATTGGATCCACCTTATTCATTTCTAAACGCACCAGTGTTCTAGTGAGTAAAACTCAGGGTAAGGCTTTAGCGGTCTTAGTTAATTGATCAAAGGAAATAATTTGCTAGCCAATTTTTGGTCAGCAAACTTGCCTAATCTATGTAATGATGTTTCTTTTTATGTTTATATCAGTCATTTCAAGATTGTATCGATGTTTGCACAGAATCTCATAATTAAAATTTAACACTAGCTTTCTATGTTTTTATAAGAGGTTTAGCAGTCACCTGTCACTGACTCAGCTTGGACTAGACCCGTTCAAATGGCCCCAGGTGATAGATTAATAATAGTGTACATGTACTAGCGTCATGAAAAGAAAGGACAAATGCTTCCGTTTGATATCCTGTATTTAGATAAAATGTACAGTATATATACAATTGTTGCTGGTTTTTGAGGTCAATATGATGATTTAGCCACCTGAGGAGAGCAATATTCACCGAGCCCGAAGGGTGAGGTGAATATTGTACTTCGAAGGTGGCTAAGTCATCGTATTGACCAAAAAAACAGCAATAATTGTTTTATTATATGATTCAATGATTAAATGACACACACTCATTAAGCAATCCATGCCATCTTACTTGTTCACACCTACTGAAGTACTAGCCGAACATAATGAGAGAAACAGGGTTAAAAAAACCAGCTGTATTATTTTGGAATTTTTAATTCTAGTCTAGGTGCAATGTAAAAAAAATAAATGTCAGGCACAAATACAGGATTGATTTTGAAAAGGGGGGCATTAAAAGGAAAAAAATTGACAACTTACCCGAAAACAAATCTTTGACTATAGCACCCCCATTCCCCCCCTCCCCCATAAAAAATGAAAAGAATTCTCCCAAATCAAAATTTTATTTGGTGGGATGTAAAGGTCCATAAACTTTTCGAGGGAGGGGGGCTTTCATTGAATTTTTTTATCCTTAAAATTTAAATTAAAACTTAATAACATTCTCAAAAGTTGGGGAGAGGGGGAGACCTCCTGCAACCCCCCCCCCACCCCCGACCCTTCACCCAAGAATCTATGTGCCTTAATTTTCTGTTTTTGGTCCAATGTAGAATAAATAATTCCTTATATTGACCTGGAAGATCATGTGCAGGTCAATATAACGTAGTATTTTTCTAACATTGTTGGATCTCAGCCAATCAGAGAGATGGGAATTATTCAATCATATAATAATATATTTTATATCATTACTACGTAAATGATAACTACGATTCAGAAATATGATGTATAATGGTGATAGCGTAGATTAAATATTGTACAAGCAGTTTATGAAAGACAAAGAGTTAAAATGACAAGATTAAAATTCCAATGAGTATTCGACTATCGTTCAACTAAAGCCTCCGACTATTAGACTAAGCTCTCCGAGTAAAATTGACATCCTTAGTGTTTTTATCCCCAAGCCTTGTTCCAACGAGTTGTATGTTTTTTATATTCTCCCTCACTTCGTCCTTCCGAATATAAATCAATGAAGTGTTAAATGAATAAAACACAGCACATATTAAGTAGGAACGCTGCTTGCTAGTGCTTTTATTCAATTACATACTGCTAACACATAACCATAATACATTAACTAATACAACTGTATAGCCCAAATTCATTGCACTCTACTGCATCACTATTGGCCATACTAATCTTTAAATCCTAGTAAGCGAGCTTTGAGTGCTGTGCTACCGCATGGCCTTACTATTTATACCCTATCGTATAACCACGTGACTTTTCAAAGAAACTTTTAGAACAGGCTACAAAATACCATGCCGCAAATAATTTTAATTATCCCTGAGCCTTGTTGAGGGGATAAAAACACACAAGTTGGATAAGAAATTGTATCTAACCATAGACCATGGGAGATTCTTTTTATCACATGTTTTACACATAGATATTTCATATTTTACACTGTTTATATATATGTAAATCCACAATATTTGACTTGATCAAATTCATGCAAAAAGCACTTTGTTATCACTTCCATGGATATAAAACAATGTCCACTGTATAAAGGAGTAAATATGTGATCAATATAATTCATTTACAGCATTTTTTGTAGGGCACTTTGACCAAAAATAGATGCATTGACCAAAACTTTATGATGGTTTTCTACATGTCGATCTGTTATTCCATAAATTATGTTAGGGTGCTTTTACCAAATCTAGGGAATATTTGACCAGAGTTGAGGCTGGTTTGTTGCAGCTAATTTCCAACAATTGTGAGAGACTCTTTAACCAAAGTCAAGGGGCTCTTTGAGTAACAACTGGGGAGATTTTGGTTATGACCCTCGTGGCATAAAATCCTATAGAGGGCTCTGTGATCAAAGTTTGGGGCTCATCAAATGCATAACCAAGACTGTGGGAATGGGGGCAGTTTTCTGGCTTTGATTGGTATTTGTGGATTTTTTTATTGCCTCTGCCAAGATACACATCTATTAGTGTTTAGTCAAAGATGGCATATTTTACCTTATCTTTTATTATTGCAGGATTCTTATTAACATGCCAGGGCATTCCTATTAAAGACACTCGCCTACAATGGATATCTTCACGGACTTGGGCAGATATAGAAGCTCATCACAGTAACTTATTATATGTCAACTATTTGTGAAGACATTGCAATTTTTTTAGTCAATTTATTTATTCCATAAGCATTTTTATTTTTAAATCATAAATATTTTAAATAATGAAATATTACAGCTGATGCTGAAAGAATCATCTATCATGCTTTGTATGGACCTGCTCAAAACCAGTCCTATAAAAGACTTGCAGAGTTCACAGATACATTTGGTTCTCGTATAGCTGGATCTCAAAATCTGGAAAATGCTATCGGTAATATTTATCGATGATATTTCTTACATTTGAAAAAAAAAGTTTTAAACTTTTCCAAGCAACTCTAAAAAGCAGAAATATGGTAAAAGCAGTTTTTACACTAGAAAAGGTTGCTTGGGTACACTTACTTATAAATTTATTTTAATAACTAAAATTCAAAACAAATTAATCAGACAGAGAGACTTAATCTTTACATTTGAATATGGCCAAGTTAATTAGAAATAGGTAGAGATAAATAAAAGTTCATAGTACATGTATATCATTCATACCTTGGCATGTGATCATATTGATGTCTTTTAATGTACATGTATTATAAACCCATTTTCATACAAGTCAATGATGCAGTGCCTCTTATGAAGATCAGTGGTTTTGTCAGATAAACTGCATTTCATAAAAAATATTTTTAATAACCACTGATGATATTTATAAACAGTTTTCTAAGGATTATGTTTCTTCTGACTTGATCAATTTGTTTATAGATTATCTAGTGGCAAAACTGAAGGAAGATGGATTAGACAATGTTCACACAGAGGCTGCACAAGTAAGTGGAGGACAACATATTGTTAATTTGTATTTGACATAATTAACAAGTAATTAACAAATTATGTTTGTGAAACACTGATACAATGTACCCCCATATGGCAGCTCATGGCCTAGATTAAAGTTTTTCAAATGAAATTCAGACTCCAAAGTCAAGAGGTCAAAAATGCTGGTCCTAATGCACAAAGAAAGGTCTTGTTACAAGGAATACACATGTTAAATGTGAAAGCCTTAGCGTTAACAATTCAGAAATTTTGGCTAAGGTTAAAGTTTTTTCAAAAGAGGGTCATACGACAAGGTCAAAAGGTAAAAAATCTTGATACCCAGGGGAATTTAATTCTTAATTGTCGCAAGGAGAGATATTTGAAATGTGAAAGCCCTAGCACCAACTGTTCAAAAGTTATGGCTAAGGTTAAAGTTTTTCAAAAGTAGGTAAAACTCCAAAGTCAAGCCAATAGTGTTGGTTCCCAAGGGAAGATCTTGTCATAAGGAAAATACAAGAGAAGTATCAAAGTCCTAACACTAAAAAAATTTGCAAAAGTGGGTCAAACTTGAAGGTCAAGAGGACAAATATATTGGTACCTAAAGAGGAGCTACAGTTTTTGCTGGCATACAGACAAACGGATGGATGGACAGACCAAAACTTATATGCCCCTGAATCTTCAATCACAGGGGCATAAAATGCATTTTATAACATTTTCATGAAGGCAATCAGCTTCCAGGGTATAACTGAGCATTGAATCTTTTGAATAGTGTTATGTATTGTCAAGGAACATCAACAGAAAAGCTTCATTTATTATTTCAGAAAAATAATATTTGACTCTGTTCTTGTCACAGAATGGTTTGACTAGCAAAGATAGCAAAAAATTGTCCCCAAAGTGTTGAAATAACATCATGAATTATTTGTGCACTTGTTTTTTGAAAAAGTTTAATATTGTCATTCTCAGGTACCTCACTGGGTGCGTGGAGAGGAATCAGCTGTAATGCTGTCACCACGGTATCATCCAATGGCCATTCTAGGACTGGGGAGCAGTATTGGGACCCCTGAAAATGGCATCACTGCTGATGTGCTGGTTGTAACTTCATTTGATGATCTAAAGGCAAAGGCCAAGCTGGTTGGTAAAATTTGTGTAGTTTCTTTGTATAACTGAAATTCAAGAAAAACCCAAGGAATCTTTTTTTTTTAAATAATAAAGTTTCAAAATTTGGATTGACCCAATTGAAATTGTGATTCTGTGGAATTATCACCTAGTGGAAAAAAGTACATTTACAATGTCTTACAAAAGTATAGCAATTTCTTTATTAAAAAAAAAAAATCATGATCTTAGTTTATTCTGACTTTAATAGTTAGGGCACAATACAACTTCAGTATTCATGCCATGTGATTTTTAGAATGCAGTCTCTTTGAGCTACTTTTGGGTCAAGGTGCATACTTCATCCAAAATGTGCAGACAGCATCTTTTGCACTGTTAATCTAATTTAGCCATCTTTTATTGTTCCTTGTAGGGTATTAATTTGTGCTTTAACTTTGAACAGTTATCAGAGTTAACACATGTGATATTCTATGGTACATTGTATTTTCTTTGTATATCATGATATTTTATGCATTTTTAATTTTATCTGTACACCTGAAAATAAACTAAAATGCATTTTCGTACAATAGTTTTATTTTGATTTCACTCATAATGAATATGTACAGTAAAACTTGGTTATAGGAAGTCCTGGGGACCTGTGAATTTACTTCACTATGTCTGTAATTTGTTATATTTGTACAATGAATTCCTTAATGTATATACATGTATAGCGAATTTGCAGTATTAATAAATGTTTTTCTTCAAGTAGGAATCCCAAACATAACATACATAATTTATCTTGGAGTACCAAAATTTTTTGATGACTTGAATTTCGGATATAAATACTCACAAAAAATCATGTGGGTTTAAATTTTTTTTTTTTTTTTAGATCTTAACAAAATTTTAAAAGATGTAAATTTCAATATTTTTAACCTGAATGGGACACAAAATCAGTTCAATATATCCTTAAACTGGTTATATCCAAGTTCTTTATAACCATAAAATTTTACAAAGAACTATTAAGAAATTTGCTGGTGATCAAAAAAAAAATTCAATATATCCATAAACTCGCTATATCTGTGAAACATTGTAGTCCTAATGGAGTTTTATTGTATAAGCATAGAACCCAATTAATTTTGTATTTTCCAGGCCAAAGGAAAAATAATAGTGTACAATCAGGAATTTGTGAATTATGGAGTATCTGTAAAATACAGACGATCAGGAGCTGTGGAAGCAGCCAAGGTCGGGGGTGTGGCATCTCTTATCAGAAGTGTGACCCCCTTCTCCATATACTCACCTCACACTGGATGGCAGGTAATGTATACATATGTACACTCAAACCTTGTTATCTCAAACTCGATGGGACCAAGAAAAAAACTTAAAGATATCTGAATATTCAAGATGTTGGGGGTAAAATACTTAAAGAATATTAAGTTGTTGGGACTTTGAAATCACTTACAACATATCCATGGTATTCAAGATATCAGTGTTCGAGATACTGAAGTTCAACTGTATTACTGTGACCCCCTTCTCCATATACATGTAGTTTCCTCACACTGGATAACAGGTAATGTACATATAGGTATTACTGTGACCCCTTCTCCACATACTCTGCTCACACAGGATGGCAGGTAATGTACACATATGTATTACTGTGACCCCCTTCTCCATATACTCTCCTCACACTGGATGAGGTTATGTACACATACGTATTATACCCCTTCTCCGCATGCTATCCTCACACTGCATGGATGGCAGGTAATGAACACATGTATTACTTTTACCCTGGATCTTCTCCATATACTCTCCTGACACTAGTTGCAGGTTTTGGTACACATGTGTATTACTGTGACCCCCTTCTCTACATACCTGGTACTTTCCTCTCACTGGATGGCAGGTAATGAACACATGTGTATTTCTGTGACCCCCTTCTCGACATACTCTCCTCATACTGGATGACAGGTAATATAGAAATAGATATTACTGTTACCCTTTTCTCCACTTATTCTCCTGGACATAACAGCTCAAGTAGGCAGTGACTTGATGTCATTTTCCATTATGATATCATATTTAGTAAAGGCACAGAGTGAACTGTGATATTCTATGGGAAGCCTTAACCTATCTGCGTGGATGGCAGGTAATGAACACATGTATTACCAGTACTGTGACCCTCTTCTCCATATACTCTCCTCACACTGGACGGCAGGTAATATACACATATACCCTTCTCCACATACTCTCATCACACTGGATAACAGGTAATGTACAGTAATACGTAGGTATTACTGTGACCCCCTTCTCCACATACTCTCCTCTCACTGGATGACAGGTAATGTACTCGTATGTATTACCGTATATCTGGGGGGTTTTTTCGTGGTGATCTATTTTTTGCATTTTTTGCGATCATTTTTAATTTGAAAAAAAATAAAACGCAGATATAATGTCAGTAATTGTGAGCCATAAAAAACAACCTTCGAGTTTACTGTGAGTGGAAGCTCACACTGTCACTCGCAAAAAATAACTGTACAAATCTACCCTCTTTTTTTGGCAAAATTTGCAACATGCGAATAAAAACGGATATATGATACTTTGACCCCCTTCTCCACAAACTCTCCTCTCACTGGATGGCAGGTAATATTATGTGACCCAGCCCTTTCTCCACATGTTTTTCTTACACTGGATGACAGGTAATGTACTTGTATTACTTTGACCCCCTTCTCCACATACTCTCCTCCCACTGGATGACAGGTATTATACAAATAGATATTACTTTGAATCCTTTCTCCACATACTCTCCTCGCACTGGATGACAGGTAATATACACAAGGTAATACTGTTACCCACTATTCCATACATGTGTATGCTCTCCTCACACTTGGTACACCTTCAGAATAAAGTCTTGTAATTTATGTAGAGATTTACTGTAAATAGTCAATCAAATCAAAACAAAACAACTGTCTTAAAATTCCATGGTATTTATGCATTTATTTTTGTGATCATATTAATATATAAAAGGATTTCTTTGTTTAGGATTATGATGACAGTGTAAAAAAAATTCCCACTGCCTGTATCACAATAGAAGATGCTGAAATGATGCAACGCATGCAAGAACAAGGTAAAGCAATCATTATAGTTATAAATTGACAGCCAAAAAAATTAGTGATTTCACAGTATTGTAGAATCTATAAATGAGCATTTAAGTATATACAGTAAAACATGCTTGTAACAAAGTGCCAGGGATGGACGATCTTGCTTCGTTATAAACATAATTTGTTATAGCTGTTAAGTTCACAATATTTTTTAAGCGTATTCTCTATAAGTATGTTTTACTGTACTTATAACTGGGATTGATACACTTTCTTATTCCAGTAGTTGCAAAATTAATTATGCCATTAAAAAAAATTATTAAAGGTTTAATATTGCTAATACTTTTAATATGATAATGATATTTTTCCAGTGTGGAGTATCTTGCAGAGTTCAGTATACTAGTAAATATGGCTAGTATGTTACAAAGGTATACAATGTGTGATATGCTTTTGTTGTTTTAACTATCTCCACTGTATGTCATTGAAGGAGATAAAATAAGAGTGACACTGAAAATGCAGGCAAAGAATCTACCCCCTGTAATGTCAAGAAACACTGTGGCAGAAATTAAAGGATCCAAATATCCTGAACAGGTACAGTGCTTGTATTTAACTCAGACTGAATTTTTATACCCCACGCAACAAGTTGCGTGAGGTATAATGTTTTTGACCCGTCCGTCAGTCAGTCAGTCAGTGTGTCAGTCAGTCAGTCAGTCAGTCCGTCAGTCCTGTTTTTTTGTCAGCGCAACTCCTCATAAACCACTGCACAGAATTTCGTCAAACTTTGCAGATATTTAGGACACAATGTGTAGATGTGCATATTACCAGGAAATTCCGATTCCTTTATTTTTTCTCGGAATTTCGGCACTTTTCAACTTAGATTTTTGGCCATATCTTGAAAATGGAGATGAACAGTTTGTCAGCGCAACTCCTCATAAACCAATGCACAGAATTTGGTCAGACTTTGCAGATATTTAGCACACAATGTATAGATGTGCATATTACCAGGAAATTCCGATTCCTTTATATTTTCTTGGAATTTCGGCACTTTTCAACTTAGATTTTTGGCCATATCTTCAATATAAAGATGAACAGTTTGTCAGCGCAACTCCTCTTAAACCGCTGCACAGAATTTGGTCAAACTTTGCAGATATTTAGCACACAATGTATAGATGTGCATATTACCAGGAAATTCCGATTCCTTTATTTTTCTGGGAATTTCAGCACTTTTCAACTTAGATTTTTGGCCATATCTTGAATATAGAGATGAACAGTTTGTCAGCGCAACTCCTCTTAAACCGCTGCACAGAATTTGGTCAAACTTTGCAGATATTTAGTACACAGTGTGTAGATGTGCATATTACCAGGAAATTCCGATTCCGTATTTTTCTGGGAATTTCGGCACTTTTCAACTTAGGTTTTTGGCCATATCTTGAATATAGAGGTGAACAGTTTGTCAGCGCAACTCCTATTAAACCGCTGCATAGAATTTGGTCAAACTTTGCAGATATTTAGCACACAATGTATAGATGTGCATATTACCAGGAAATTCCGATTCCTTTATATTTTCTTGGAATTTCGGCACTTTTCAACTTAGATTTTTGGCCATATCTTCAATATAAAGATGAACAGTTTGTCAGCACAACTCCTCTTAAACCGCTGCACAGAATTTGGTCAATCTCTGCAGATATTTAGTACACAGTGTGTAGATGTGCATATTACCAGGAAATTCTGATTCCATTATTTTTTCTGGGAATTTTGGCACTTTTCAACTTAGGTTTTTGGCCATATCTTGAATATAGAGATGAACAGTTTGTCAGCACAACTCCTCTTAAACCGCTGCACAGAATTTGGACAAACTTTGCAGATATTTAGTACACAGTGTGTAGATGTGCATATTACCAGGAAATTCCGATTCCATTATTTTTGCCTTAAGAGTTTTGCCTTTTATTGAAGAAACTTTCCAGCTAGGTAATAAGAAACTCCACTGGAATCAGCTTTTTATAATGAAATTCTATGTGAAATATTTTATGACCTTAAAAGACCCCTATTGATTTTGAGATCAAAATATTAATGGTTTAACACAAACACACACTCACACACACACCATCTTCGATAGTTCTCTCCCCCCCCCCCCCCCCCCCCCCCCTTCAAATTGGTGTGCTTTGCCTTAAATAATTTCATAAGTACAGTATATAAACAGATTCATATGACTACATCATAATTTTGTTTCCATCAATTATTTAAATGTGTAAACTGTCATGTGTTGGACATGGACTTACACTCATTAACAAATCGAAATCACTGAGGAATTTAAATAACAGTTTGTCAGCATAATTCCGGCACTGAATTTCCTGAAACTTTGTAGGTATTTCAGAATAATGTATAGATTTGTATATTACCAAGAAATTTTGATTCCATTATTTATCTAGAAACTTCAGCCCAGTTAAATTTGTAACATACAAAGATTTGAATGTCCTTATATGCAAGAAGTTTTGATGTGATGATTTTTTGCAAGTAATGCCCCTTTTTTGAATTATACTGTGTATTTAAAATGCACTGTGCCATTCATTACGTGTTGCATTGTCGAGTTTTGGGGAAGCGTGGGGTATGTGAGCTTGCTCACTTTTTCTTTCATTTTAAATGGACTGTAATGCTAGGTTGGGTCACATAGTGTTAAGTTTTACAAAGGAAGAGGTTTTTTTTAATCTTGAGGAACCAGGCTGCAGTGTCTGATCTGGTTTAATCAGGCCTTCAATTTGGGATCAGAAATAGGCCATAATAGAGCCTAGGATTTAAGAAAAAAATATATGGGAAGAGTAATTGAATGTCTTCTACAGAACATCTAGGATATAATTTGTGATCTTATGGGTCTAGGTTTTTAAATTGCATTGACTGTCCATGTAACTTTCTACTATTTGTGAAAGGCCTTTAAAGTACATGTATTGCCATATATTGTTGATTGGAATCTGCTCCAGTCATAACCTCAGAATCAGGTCACAACAGAGGTTCACTGTTTTAAGTATAGATTATATAGACTTTACCTTGGGGCAAATGAAGGGTCTTAATCACAAAAGCAATGTGACTCAGATGAGTGTTGTTGCCCATTGGCCTCTTGTTTAATTATATGAAGATCAATGTATAAGACTATAATGTATAAAATTTCACTCCTTTTTATGCCCCCAGATCGAAAGATCCTGGGGGTATATTGTTTTTGTCCTGTCTGTCTGTTTGTCTGTCTGTCTGTTGTCAACTTTGACCTAGCTCATAACTATTGTGCTGTCAAGGGTAAGGCTTTAATATTTTACATGAGTGTTCATTATGACAAGACCTTTCCATTGGTACAGAAATTTTTGATCATGTGACCTCAACTGTGACCTTTGACCTACATTTTTAACATTGGCCATAACTATTGCACTGTAGTCTACGTCCCACTCCAGCGTTGTGTTACCATCGGGGGGCATAGTGTTTCACAAACACATCTTGTTTAACGATATTCAGGTTGTGCTAGTGAGTGGTCACCTGGACAGCTGGGATGTGGGTCAAGGTGCCATGGATGATGGAGGTGGGGCATTTATTTCATGGCAGGTAAGTGTCCTGAATACAGTGTGTACCAATTTTAATTAAGAAAATAGAATTCATCAAGTAAAAATAAATCATAGGTCTTTCATTCAACATTCACTGGGAAACATGAACTTTGTGACTTTCTTTGCTGTAGGCTTTATCCATTGTAAAACAGCTAGGTCTGCAACCCAAACGTACCATTCGAATGGTTATGTGGACAGCTGAGGTAATTCAATTGAATTTGTTCAAAACATTCATATTGTCAATATAAATTCAATATCATTCAAACACCATGATTACGTATCATTAAAAATAATTGTCCTCAGTATTGCCTTATTTATATTTCAGGAAGAAGGAGCGTTCGGTGCCCAAGCTTACTACAACAAACACAAGGCAAGTAAAAAGGGATTTTAAGTACATACTGGGTAAATCTGGATCCTTGGGTGATGAGAGTTTGATTGGAGGGTCACAACTTGTAGTGACCTTCCAGGTGAATATAAGGATTAATTTTTCTCTATATTGGTCTAAAAATAGATTAGGAAATTATTAATTGCTACACATAGTTTTGGAAAGCTATTTCACTTGCTACCAACTTCCACTCAGGTGAACATAACATTAGGGAATATATAATTTGGGGTAGTTGTGGTCGGGAGGGGTGCGGGGGACTTCTTCCTAAACACTTCTTTTCTGAACATTAATTTTTAATTTAGACTAAATATATTCATTGAAATGCTGGTCCTCCACTTATAGACCTTAATCCCCCATCCCAACCCCCAAAACAAAATCTGAAGTTAAGAGAATTCTCCTCTTTTTTGGTGGGGCTAGTCAAAGATTTTTTTTTTTCAGCTGTCATTTTTTCCCCTAATAATGCCCCCCCCCCCTTCTTTTCAAAATTGATTATAAAAGAGCCTGACATTATTTTTTTTTTCTTCCTAGCACATAATATAGATTAAAAAATTCAAAATTAATACAACTAGTAATGTTTATTTAACCCTGCTTCTCTCATTGCGTTTGGCTAGGACTTAGCAAATGTAAACAAGTAAGATAGCATGAAAACTGTTTAATGAAGTAACACAGTACAAAGTTAAAATAGCCTGGTCCCCTGGCTCATCCTTGCCTAGTGATGCGGAGTATACGAAGCATAACAGGGACAGGGAACCAGGCTAAAAGTTAAAATTACTCACACTATCACATAAATTAATATTAAAAGAGAGACCCATGGGCCATAATGCTCACCTGTTTTACCATTCTCTTTCTGACAAATAACTGAAAAACCACTTACAATACATGTATACAATTATTGCTGTTTTTGAGGACAATTCGGGCTCGGTGAATATTGTACTCCTCAGGTAGCTAAATCATTGTATTTTATTATATGATTTATTGATTAAATGATACAAACTTCAGTGATTTTGACCTTAAAATGATGTAATAAGGAAAATGTTATCTTACATTGTCATATTGTAGTAAGAGTAATGTTGGTAATTTTTAATTACCTTGTAATGGCATACATGTATTGTAGGGTAATGTCAGTAATTTTGACCTTGTGATGGAATCAGATGGGGGAACATTTATGCCACTTGGATTTCAGTTCAATGGTTTGTGGTACAAATTCAACATTTTTAGATATTTAAGAGGGACCCTTTATGCTACTTAAAAACAGTCAGTACTATTAAACTATTAAATTATCATTTGGCAATAATAATGTTTGATAAAGCATATGTTGTGCAACTTTTGCATGTTGTTTTTTTTTAATGTTGGATAATCAGTAAAGTTATTTGACTCCTTTTTGTTTGCAGGCAATTCAGCTGCAAAGTCCATTATGAAAAAAATTATTGAACCACTTCAGAGAGTTAGATCTATCCCCCTCTTGCCTAATGGAGGTGGGGAGGATATTGCTGAGTGGATGAAGGCAGGAGTTCCCAGTGGCAGTATAGCAACAGATGTTAATAAATACTTCAAATTTCATCATTCCAATGGTAATTATTAGGGCCATGAAATATAGGAGCCCTGTTGGAATCACACTGTCTGTCTAGCTGTCTATATGTCAAATAACATATATGTACAGAAATAATTTACAATAAAAGAAAGATACCCATAAATTCTTGGGTCATATCACTTTCTTTGCCTGTCATGTAAATCTATTATGACATGATCACTCAAATGGTTTTCATGGTAACAATTTCAAATTTTATTTAGAAGGAGCTGATTATAAGAGAAAGACACCTATTGAATTTCATGGTCATATCTACTGTAAATCATTTTTTATTAATGAAAACTTTATTTTTCACATAATTACTTGATGCCATCTGCTTGTTAAAATTTCATTTTCACATTTATTTGTATCTGACATTAAAGATTATAGACAATAAGAATCAAAATTCTTATCTTTTTTTCCTTGCATATAAATGCAAAATAACTATCTTGCAAAAATAAGTGACATGAAAAATTTGGTGATCTACTGTATTTGTTTCTCAGTCTATATGTGTATGTACGTCTGTATATATATTATATTAATAATTCCAACACATACATGTACAGTTGAACTTCATTATCTCGACCACCGGTATCTTGAATACCAGGGATATGTCAAAGTGTGCCAAGTGCCAACCACTTTTACCCTTGTTATCTCAAATTCTCAGATACATGTATCTTCAAATTTAATCTTGGTCCCATTGAGTATGAGATAATGAGGATGACTGTAATTGTGTACAAGTAATTCTTCCATGTCTGACAACTTCCTGATGTGCATTTTTTTGTTCTACACATTACTGTTTCAAGTACACTTGTCTCTTTCCTATGACAACTCTCAACAGGACTCTCTCTGGCTGTCAGTTTTCTAGTAACCTGAATAATATATGAACAAGTAGTGCAAGTAAATTTTAAATTGAGTGACCAACTGGGTATTGTTTTCAATTTTCATCAGCCCTTGATCTTATGTGTAATAAACATTTTACACTTTTAGCTTCTGATTTTTTTCTTCGATGAATTAATTTGTCAAATGAAATGAGAATTAAACAGTACCCGGTATTAAGAGATTTTTTTTTTACACACAAAATGAACATTCAGCAATATGAGCTAAAATCTTTCAATCATCACAATTGCAGAAGGGGGGATTAACTGCTCCTGTGTTTAACATTAAGATTAAATGGAGAAAGTGCAGAAAATTTTCTTGTATCTAACTCAATTGAACAGAAAGTTTAAGCTTTTCTGATCACCTGTTGTCCATCATCTGTCTGTTAACTTTTTACATATTTATCTTCTTCTCCAGAATTAATGGGCGAACCAAGCCAAACTTGCCACAAAGCATCCTTGGGTAGATTTATTCAATTGAAGGACTACATTCTCTTCCATGGGAAGATAATCAAGGAAAGACAAAAATAATGTGGAATCTTTTTAAAAATCCTCTCCTCAAGAACCACTAGACCAGAAAGAATCAAACTTATGCTAAGGCTTCCTGAAATAGATTAAAGTTTTTTACAAATTGGGGCCCCCAGAGGTAGAGTGGGGCTGCAATTGAGGATCAAAGACTTACACAAGAGTACATGTACATATAGGAAAAAATCTTGAAGAATATTTTTAAGAATAACAAAGCCACGATTAGATTAATGTACAAGCATTTTCATGTAGTACAGATTCTTTTTTTTTTTTCAAGTCATTGCCCCCAGGGGTAGGATAAGGCTACCAAAGAAGATCAAAGTTTACATGACCTAAATAAGAAAAAAGCTTCTCAAAAACAATATGGATTTAAGTTTGGTTTGGTCTTGGCCCTGGGGCTAGGGTGGTGCCACAATATTGGGGTCAAGATTTTTTATGGGAATATAGAGGGGAAAATCTGAAGAACAGCAGGGCAAAGTGACTCAGGTGAGCATTGTGGCATATGTACCTCTTGATTTTTTTTACAGGAGACACAATGACAGTACAGGACCCTGTTGAGATGAATGTCTGTGCGGCTCTGTGGACTGTTGTGGCTTACACTGTTGCAGACATAGAGGATATGTTACCAAGGTGATCTGGCCATTACACTTTGACTACAATCTTCACATACCACGTACCACACAGCAAATGTAATTTCTGCATCTTGAAATACATGAACATGTAGTCGGATCCTGAAAATGATGTGCATGTATTCAAATCTATTTTTGTGAATCCAGATTAAAACTTTTTTTATATATCCCAATAGATTTAAATATTTTTAGATTTTATTGTCATATATCCAATTGAAACCCAAAAGTGTACTCACTCATGTAAATTAGACAACCTTAGAAATATTATTTATATATGATACTACTGCCTTGGATATCATATCTTTTGTATGTAAACGATATGAAATGATGTTCATGATATTAATTTTGCAAGTTTTTTTTAAGGAGAAAAATCTCTATTTCTTATTGCTGGTGAAACAAACTGCTTGTTTATTTTTTTTTTCATTATTTATAATACATCAATGGATTTCTCTAAACAAATAAGGCTGAGGTTATCCTAATAGGACATTTTGTTTTTCATTGTGTTATTAAAATTTAGTTTGGTTACTAATACATGTGTAGTACAAACAGATTAAACAATACTTAGACAAAATTTAAGGTTCATCAACCCTCTGATAAGAAAGATAACTCTTACTGGGATAAATTACTTTTATTCCTGTATAAATTAAGTTAAAAGGCCACCTCTGTCCAATTTTTCCTCACAAGCAATGCTAAAAACTGTGTGCAATTTAATATACATAATGTATTTTGGACAATCATTAGCATTAATTAAAGCAAATTTTTATATGAGTGAACAGAGGGAAGATGAACCTTAATTGCATTTGGTTTTGTTTTTTTTTTTACATTCTACATTTTGTTTAACATAATGCTGTTATGTGCATTTTTGACATAATATTCTTTTCAGGATTTGGAGATTGTTTTATTTACTGTTGCTGCTAAGCAAATGTATATAAGTGACCATATCCTATTTTTGATGGAGTAATTTTTTTTTTTACTAATTGCACATCTGTTACTGTGATATCAGATTACATATCAGTGTTACGATTTTTTACATTTCCAGTATGTTGATATTTAATTCCAGTAGTCTGTCTTTTTCCCTCTGCTTTTTTTGTTTTTAATTAGGACCCTGCTTTGTGGAAGCTCTATTGTAATTTGACTGTCCAATGTCCAGAATATATTTTCTCTCCTTTTGACACAGTCTAACTCATATTGCATTCACAATGTGCATTGACAATGATCCAAGTTTATATGTACAATTTTTGCCCTTAGAATAGTTTGGATGACACTTAACCCATGGAGTGCCGTAGATCAAGGGTGTGCATTATTTGAACTAAGTCAAGGTCAAAAACACTTTTGTGCAAACTCTCAAGAGGGTGTTATTATTTTCATGCAGCTACATATAATTTGGAAGTCATCAACTCCATAAAATTTAAATCAAACTTGCAGAGAACAAATTGTCTTTTTACTTCTTCTATTACCCTAAACAGAAATACATGTAATTCTTTCCTTTACACCTAGACGAAATCTTTTTCAGAATATAAAATTCTCTCCACACGTCCCTTTGAACCCTATGCCCTTTACATATACTAAAAGTGAGACCCTTTTGAGACAGTTACCATCTTAGTGATATCTGTATTACTTCAGTTATGAGTACATGTATATAGTTTTGGAAGAGTATGATCTACTGATTCAATATACTGTATACAGGGAAATTTTGGTCCCTGTTTTTTTTTTTTTTTTTTTTTTGCCTTTTCGCCCTACCCACAGGTGGACGAATTTAAAAAGAGGCAAACTCGAAGCATGAATTCTTAAAAAGAATTGTGACTGGGCAAATTAAAAATGGGGCAAAATTGTTTGCAATTTTTAAAGGGTGAAAATAACACAGGGCCAAAATAACCTTGTATACAATAATGATGTACTTAAGAGTTTTAATTCATTAATAGATCTGCTGAATATTGATATATTTATAGACTTGCATCAGTTGTGTATGGTGATTCTATACAATAGTTTACTTTTTTAAAACATGAACTTATTAACAGAGAACTTCTTAAGAAAATAAATTTAAAATTTATTGTATCATATGTTTTCATACTCATTAGGAAAGTTACATATTAAATTGCTAACAGTCTGAAAGGAATTGCTTTAACTCGAGTCTTTCAAAGCATTAAACTTCACCTTTTCAACTACTTGTCAATGAAAAAAGGCTTCATAATTCATGAGAATATCTTTCACACATTGAAGTCAAATGTGAAAATAATGATTTTTTCACTATTCATTGGACCAACCTAGCCCCAAAGGCAATAATTAAAGGAAAAAAGGAAACAAATCTTGAATGCAATTACATCTTCATTCTCCTATGGTCATGTCACAGAAAAATCTATTATTATATCCCCCATTTGAAAACGGGGGGTTAAATATTGATGGAGTGTCCATTCTACAGTCCTTAACAGGGGGTAGCCATCCCTTATCCTCAATTCCTCTTACACAGCTTAATGCAATTTCATGAACTTTCACCAAATCTTTCTTGCATAGTGGCATTGTGCATCTCCTATTTTACATTTCAGACAGATACCTGGGGTATCCCATAGCAAAACATGGACACTATCATTCTTTCTATAATATTGTGGGTACCCTTCTCTTATCTACAATTTCTCCTATACCACTAAATAATTCAATCTTTATTACATAGTGCCATTGTGCACCTCCTATTCTATGTTTTGATCAGACTGAAATTTGGGGGTTTTCCATAGCCAAAAATGGATTATGCCATTATACTCGCATGGATTGTGAGCTCAGTGCTCATAGTACCTCTACTAATAATCGACATAAATCCTCAGATCTATAATAAAACAAAGTACAAGTCTTTAGTTCAATCATTACACTTTATTCACACAAGACAAAAGTTCATGAAGACTTCAAATCACGATATCTTCCTACATAATGATCATAGAGTGCTGGTTCTTTAAAATTCCCAGTCAGGTTGGACATTGAAAGGTTTACTATTTTATTATCTTTCCTCTTCAGTTGAAATGAGACATAATTTTGTCCTGCTCTTGCAGTCAATCCTGAAATATTTGTCACAGGAACTTCATGAGTAGTTGTCATGAAGAAAGGGGCAAATGTTCTCACTCGAACTGTTTTACCTCCCTTTAAAAGCCACATACTCCGCACACATCTGTCACAAATTCGACAAATCCCACTTGGAATTATTGTAGCTGAAATGAAAAAAGAAACCTTTTATAGCTTGTGTAAAAGAATAATTCATTTATTGTCATATCTGTGTTTCTTCTTTCTGTAGTATGGAATGAAAGGAGGAATGAGTTAATATACATTGAAAATTCATAAATATATATATAATGAAAAACATATGGCTAGACCGGGAATCAAACCCGGGACCCCTGCATTACTAGTCAGGTGCTCTAAACGCTGAGCTATCCAGGCCGATGTCCACAGTTCAGCCTAAATTCCTACATTCCTCCCTCCTTAAATAATCTTCGCCCCCGAAGACACAACACAAGTTCACCTTGTCAGGACTTAACATTAATTACATATACATATTATACTGCCTGAACAAGGTAGGCCACAGCACCATCTGTAGTATGGAAAGGAGGAATGAGTTAATATACACTGAAAATTCATAAATATATATATATATTAATGAAAAACATATGGCTGGACCGGGAATCGAACCCGGGACCCCTGCATTACTAGTCAGGTGTTCTAAACACAGCTATCCAGGCCGATGTCCACAGTCCAGCCTAAATTCCTACATTTGATTTTTTCTTTTTTAAAATTTGCATGGCCATTGGATAACATTTGTCACCTGAAGGACATTATGAAAATCAACAGATATAACACTGGTAATAATTGCACAACATGGTATATTCAGTGTTGTCCACTTAAATACCAGGTGCATTCAAGCAGCTATTGCTATGATCTTGAACAATGTGCTTGGCACATAGCTAGCAGTATGGATGGCAAGGTTAAATTTATACAGTGCATTCAATAGACCCAGAACTATGTATCTAACCTAATAACCTTGCAGGTAGGCTGGCTCCTACAAAGTTGAATGCAGATCAGAGGTGCATTCAAGATTGTAGTAGCTAAGAAGCTCTACACAGAGTTATGTACCGTATATTCGCCTATAAGTCGGATTTTTGAGAGTGAATATTGGTCCTAAGCTCTATATGCGACTTAATAGGCGAGTCATTGAAAAAAACTGGCATTTTTCTGGACAACCAAATGTAGTGTTTTATAAACATTTCCGACGATTATCGTTGAATAAATTCTGGGATATAGTATATCATTTATGTATGCTAAGATTATACATAAAGTACAAATATTTACGTTTTAGTTTATTGTATTGAAGTTTATTTTTACCTTAAGTGTGAATTCCTTATTTTTTTAATGACGTAGAATTAAATATTTGCATCATTTCTAAAAGTATTAATTAAAACCAGGTTAAAACATCAGAGCATTGATTTGAAATTGTCAACCAAATCCAGCAAAAATTTGTACCGACTTATAAGCGGGTCAATGGCAAATCCTACCAAAATTACCTCAAAAAATACAACTGACTTATAGGCGGACCGACTTATAGGCGAGTATATACGGTAACCTGAAAGGTGAAAAATATAACGGCCGAGACCATGATTGGAAACCAAACCCCTGAATCTCCAGTCAGGTGCTCTACCAACTAAGCTATCTGGGCACTGGCTATGGAATCCATCTGACCATCACTTTCCTCCCTCCTTAAAGCTCTTCCCCCCTGAAGACACCAACACAGCTCTTTCACCTGTCACTTCCAGTGCATGACACAGCACCAAATGTAACTGGAGAGGAGAAAAAAGCAACAGGCTATATCGAGATTCGAACCTGGGCCCCCCTGAATCTCCAGTCAGGTGCTCTGCCAACTGTGCTATCTGGTCACCACAGCCACCCATCTGAGCACCACAGCTGCAATCTTGAATGATATGCTAGACTAAATGGTACAAAAGGAAAGCTAGCAAAGATATATAATGCTAGATACCAAATGATAGATGACCAGTTAGTTACTGCAGTTAGTTAACACAAGTTTCTAACATAATTTGAGCTTGCATGGTTTGAACAAATTTGAATCTACACTATGTCATGAAGCTTTCACAATAATTTCTCATCTTTTCTGGCCCAGTCAGGCAGTTGTTCTTTTATGTGACCCAACCCCATTCTTGTCTTTTGTTGATTTATCTTTCTTTGAAAAGGTGAGTGGTCCTTCATGTAACAAAACTGAAGAGTCCCCTTCACCAAAGGATACTTTGTGCAAAGTTTGGTTGAAAATGTCCCATTGATTCTGGAGGAGGAGATGAAAATGTGAAAGTTTTCAACTTAGATGACACCAACGCCAACAGATAGAGACAAATTTCAAAAAAGCTCACTTGACTGACTTGAGCCCTTGGCTCAGGTGAGCCTAAAGAAAAGGGACTCATTCTAAAGTGTGACATGTGAAGGTGGCAATATACCATGGTTACTTCTAAATTCTGGCCTTCTTAAAGTCCTTTGGGCTTTGTCACAACCTATCTAGCTTGATTAAATCAAGGCACTCTACTGCATCACCAAGAAATTGCCAACATACTGCGAAATCACAAAATTTTATGGGGGTTTAATTTTCATAGTTTTCATGGTATGAAGAGACCAGCAAATTCATGTCCTCCATGAAAATAAAAAAAAATCAAATATATAAAATTCAGCACTTCCTCACCCATGAAATCAAATCCCCACGATGCTATAATTTTTCCTCGAACCTCGAAAATTTGACCCCACGAAAATATGTAATTTTACAGCATTCTATATTCATTTACACAAATATAATCACCTAATGCAATGGACAATAGCAAGAATCCTGTGAAGCCTTTATTCTTCCAATATACCGATTCTGTCAAGCCTTTGTTTTCTTCATCCCTGGGTGCAGAATTTCTCAACTGTATTCGTATTATATCTGCTATATTGAGGAAGAAAATAACACACAAAAATCCTGTTGCTTTAAGCATTAAATAATGCCGAGCTCTCCCTTCGTCTTCAAATATTTCTTTGTCAACTATAATGTCATCATATTCATCTTCCTTCCATTCATCAAGCCAGCGATTTTGTCTTGTGTTTCTTCCCTTTCTGCTTTGATAACCAACACACTGGACACAACAGTAAATGGATTTGTCAGGATTGAGGAAATTCGGAACAATAAATTGGTGTCTGTTGTAAAGTCCTGTTGAAGCAAGTGCGATATTGTTTCTTATCAATGAAACTCGAAATGAAGAATGGAAAATCCTAGCTAATCCTTGCATTATTGTGTTGCATGAACAAAAAACTGTACGCAAGAAACGATTTGTGAATCTACTGTCACAGGTTATCCTCCTTTAGTCGTTGTCAGGTCGTTCCCTGTCCAATCCGGTCCTGAAGAATAAAAGCGTGGAAAAACAGGGGTCAATTTTTTCTCCGATTTTCGTCATTTTTTCTTTTTTTTTGGGGGGGGGGGGGAGTTATTGGTCACAAAATCGGATCCAACCGGTTTCCCTGTCCCTTATTTTTCGAAAGAGAAAAAAATACCCTCCACAAAAATCATCACTACGTATAGGTATTAGGAATTTTGAACCCACATGATCATGTATCTTTCTCACATCTGCATAACTGATCATACAGATAAAAGGATGGATGGGATGACTTCATTTGATGTGCCAAAAAATGATATGTGATTATAGATTATAGGTGTTATTATAATTTTATTTTTAAAAAAATAAAATAAAATGTTGTGACGAAGATTTGCACGGCTGCATTATGGATTTTGTCACAAAAAATATCTAATGTTATTTTAAAAACTTTAAATATATTTTTTTTGAGATCTCAAATTTCATCGAATTAGTTTTTTTTTTTAAATTATAGTGTTGATAAGGAAAAGCTCGAGTTATGGATTCCATATCATGCATATTGGACGCTCTTTCTCTATCTTAAATAACCCCACTCTTTACATCTATTCACTCTGCAGCTTCTTCACCACATGTCATGATGTTTTTATTGAGTTTGAAAAACTGTATTCCACATTTCTAAAGCAACTAGATGCTTGATAAACAATATTATTTTGCTACGTATCATGTGTTATGACTTTGATTTAAGGTCATTTCTGTAAGGAAAAGGTCATTTTAACTGTTGAAGGAAACACTAAATTCGTTGAGTATTTGATTTTCAATTCCCTCTGCTTTGATCAACGATATCTATTTCATTATCAGTATGGTGAAATCACTTGATAAATAATTGATAATAATACACAATAGACTGAGGAATTCAATGACCAGCTTTCTTATTTATCCAATCTTTCAATCCACATCTTTGGCGTACATGATCTCCAACATGGGTTGTCCATAAAGTTCGTGGACATAATGTTTTTGTGAAACTGAATGGTACTAGATATATTTATTGTATACCAATATCATATTTCATTGTACGTGACCAACTGGTCGTGTGAATACTGAGTATAGTATTTTGCTACAATAATTTTTCATTTAGATGCTGATTCCCCCCCCTTTTTTGTTGCTGTAAGGTCGAGCACTGGCAAATTCCAGGATAAAAAAAATGTACCAAAAACTAAGAGAAAGGTACGCCCTCCCCCCCCCCCCCTCAACGAAATAGGTTTTCGAGTTTGGACAGGTTTTATTGCTTGTAAGTTTTTTTGGGAGGTTGCCCCCCCCCCCCTTTCCGACATTTTTTTTTTTGGAGATAAACCCCCCCCCCCCCCATTTTAAAAAAAATTTGCTATGGGCCTGGTATACGATTTTTCAACGTTGTGAACAATATGGGAGACACTACAAGAAATAGAAAACTACTGTATAATTTGATGAAAATGGCTTTCCCTATATATACAGGACATTGTTGTAAATCTAGACTAGGCTGTACATTGGTCGAAGTGTTTCAGTCCGCAAATTATCGTGTATCGTTTTGAATTAAAAAAAATACTCCATTATGTTCTACATATATTGTCGCACATACTTGGCAAAGTGTCATACTAAAGAAAAAATAGTCGATGTCCATGAACGTGTGATAAAAATTCAAAATCCATATTTTTAATGTTAACATGGTCAATGGCGTTAATGTTGAAATTAGCAGACTGGGTCGTACAGGTTGTATACGAAGGATATTTGAAATAATGAATATTTATTTGCTGTATTTTATTCAACAAAAATATCACAGATACAGCTTATCACAGTTCTTCAAAATATTCTCCTTCAACTTCTATACATTTTTTCAGTCTTTGAATCCATTTCTGAAAAGCCGATTTATAGGCTTATATATATTTATAGATCTCGGGTTCGCATTATTAAGAAATTTTAATTTATTTACAGTTTTGAAGAAAATTGATTAGATTTTAATTTTCTTCAATTTTCTTGAAAAACTATGTTAAACAGTTTTTATTATTTAATATTCATTAATTTCGAAATGCCCTTTGTATACGAAGTATATACACCTATAACGTTCGTAAAGTAGAGTGTAATGTTTTAATTTTATACATTTAGTAAATCAAGGTCTATTATACAATTATTGCTGTTATTTCGAGGTCAATACGATAATTTAAATTAAGACACCTGAGGAGTACAATATTCACCGAGCCCGAAGGGCTAAATCACCATATTGACCGAAAAAACAACAACAATCGTTTTATTATATGATTTAATTATTAAATGGTACGTATAAAAACTCATTAAGCAATCGATCCCATCTTACTTGTTAACATTTGCTGAAGTCCTAGCCAAAATTAATGAGAGAAACAGGGTTAAAATAAACATAACCAGTTGATTAATGTTGAGTTTTTACATCCATTTTAGGTAGGATGTCGAAAAAAAAATGTCAGGCACGTATATTGGATTGATTTAAAAAAAAAATGGGGGGTGTAAGTAAAAAAAAAATTGACAGCTTCCTTGAAAAAAATCTTCCATTAGCCCCCCCCCAAAGAGAAGAAGTGGTAGGGGGGTGGGGTGGGGGTGTTAAGGTCCATTAATGGGGGAACCAGCCTTTCAATGAACATTTTTAAGCTGAATTAAAAGTAAAAGATTCATTTACACTGTGACCTCTTACACATTTTTATTTTTAAAATCACGTCTCTATTGGAGAGGAAAACGGAGGGGGTAAAAATGAAAAATCACAGTTATCAGTTAAAAAGTAAAAAAAAATGTCTTTTCAAATTATGTTTAATGATTTAAGCTTTTTAAAAATTGATATACATATCACAAACATCTTGTCATTTATGTGTACAAATCAGGTATTGGTCTGTGGCATGTGCTGCTAAGAGTGTTCATGGTTATCAGTAAATGGATTTGTTATTTTTGTTCTCTTCTTCTTTGTCTTTCCACCTTATTCTACATCATCTTCAACAACAGTCAAGGTTGGTCCTTTTGCGGCCTGCGCTGATGAAGGCATTTGAAATGAGGATGCAAACATTGATGCATAGCGCTGAAAAACAAAAACCACAAATTCAGTTTGACTCCATTTTTAATGCTGTCTTTCAGATTTCTTAATCAGTAGAGCTGGTTAAATATCTACAACTTTTTTTGGATGTATTTCCTTTTTAGGAACAATGCTTTCCTTGCTCTGAGTGTCATATAAAACCAATGGTCCATTTCATAATCAAGGATAAATACACAAGACCAATGTCTAGTTTCAGCCTTTTCAATAGAAAGACCACACAATTGCATACAAAATGTTAATACATTTATATATTTATATATATATACGGCCAAATGAAAAATGCAACATAAAATACAACAGTTGAACTTCGGTATCTCAAACACTGATATCTGGAATACCATGGATATCGAAGTGATTTGGAAGTCCAAAATCCTTATTTTTTTTAAAAAGTATTTCAAAATGGATATCTCGAATCCTCGGATATCTCAAAGTTTTTTTTCCATCCCATTGAGTTCGAGATAACGAGGTTTGACTGTATGTACATTTGCTTTATAACTTACAATATGAAAGTATATCTGATATACATGTATATGATTATATACAGACAAATAGATATTTTACCTTGTTGACTTCTGGTAATTTCTGTATTAGAAGCTGGAACACCTGGGGTGGCAATGTCTGCTCCAGAACCTGTAGGAGTTGCTGTGGTTGTCCACACAAAGGTACAGCATTACTCAGATGTTCTACTGCATTCTCAACATCACCTTTCATTAAGTAAAAATGTTGATCTTGAAGTTTGTGTGGTGAAATAAATATGTGTTGTTTTTGCAAATTCTTTCATTTGAAACTTATCATCTTAAAAGTTTAAACTTTTCGAGAAAATAACTTGCAGAAAATGATTATCTGCATCTGAAAACTTGATTGTTACAATAGTGTTGCCTGATAGAAAATCAATTCTTGACTTTAATTTTTGCCACTGATAACAGATATGTGTATTCTGAAATCTGATTCCTTAGAGAAGGCTAGGAAGTCTCAAGACCAAGTAAAAATTGATGGACTAATTTACCTAATTTATACCATTAAATATTACAAATCTATCAATAGTTTGGACTTTCAGCAGGTGGTGGCACGCTTCTATTTACGTCACATTAAACTGTGAAACAGTGACATAGACTGTATATTTCACACCAGAACAAGGGTTAGCAGAGGAAAAATCAGGCAAATTTCACTCTTTAATTGGTCACACATTGTTTCCTATGATCAAAAGGCTAAGCTTATATCATCTTGTTGTTTGTCAGCTATACAGTATAGCTGGTTGTTTGGCAGGGATATAATTTTGGCCTGTTTTGGTGATTAATAAAGATACATCAAAATAAAAATCGTTAAATTAATTAAAGTACTACTGTATACACTTGGTGTGCAAATATTATCAAGGAAGTAATTAACTTAGGTGATGCCTGAGATGCATATGTGGTTTGTTGGGGAATATATACATACATACATTTTTTAATATTTGAAAAAGCCTTACATTCATACTTGTATTGAGTAATATTTTTTTCTTTTTCTTTTTTGCTAAAGCTGATCAAACAAAATTTATATCATATACACAAAAACAATTAATGCATCCCAAATATACATAAGATATGATTCACCAAAATTATATCCACCAAATTTAATCGTATACCTTATTGACCCCAATCCACCAAATTTGTGGCCCATCAAAAACCCTACTATACAGTACCTGATAGTCTAAACTATCAGTAGAAATGTTCTAACTGTCCCCTTCTTTTAACTTAATACAAGGACAAAAACATGGAATGAATATATGTAATGGTAAACACACATCCAGGATACAGGCAAAGAAAAGATTGGAAGTAAGAGTATTTGGACTAAACCATCTTTGCAGGAATAATAAAAACGAAAACTTCTGGATTCCTCTGCTCCCCCCCCCCCCCCCCCCCAAAAAAAAGTTTTGGTGCTGATTTTTCCCTTTCAAGAAAACCTCAGTTATATTGCCAAATGCCAAATACTAAGAAATCCACTTGTCTAATCAACTTTACCTGCTGCCAGCAGTTCTTCTCCAAGTTGAACTTGCTCAAAGAAAAACTTCTGAACAGCCTCCTGGTTTTGTAAGTCTGGAAGCTACAATATTCATTTGAAAAGTTTCTGATTACTGGATTTTGACCAACATCTATATGTCTACTAAAACAATTAAATAAATAAATATATATATATATATATATATATATATATATATATATATCAATATATCAAATCTCATTTGCATTAAAAATTATTGCTATCCATGGCATTCCTACAGAGCTTTGCACTGGCACTGTTCTAGCTGCAGAACTGTAGCTCTCTGCTTGAGAAAATTCGGACAGATAAAGCAGAGAGCTACAGATCCAAGCATTGTAAAAACCTTCGATTTACTCCACCGCTTTTTTGTCACTCGCTTCAGCTATTATTTCTTGAATTTTATGCTTTCCCCTGCTTTAAGAATGATATCCAATAATTAACCATATATATTTAACTCCTATTCCTGATATTTTAATTTACCTGTCAATGGTTCCAAACCGCCATATGTGGTTTTAGAGTATCAGTTAAAAAATTCCCTTTCTTTCCGATGTCCATGTTGGTGTCATCCTAAAATAACACGCCAGAGTTATATTTATCTACCGGTAATTTTTTTAAAAATACATGTATTGTCTTCTTTATAGACAATATACATGATATCTGAATTTTTTATTTACATTTTCTCTGCAAGTGTATGTTCCTTGAAAGACTTTTTTTCACACGAACCCCAACATGGCCGTTGAAGGAATGGGATTTTTTTAAACCATCATTCCAAAACCATAAAGGGCTGTTTGGGACTGCTGAAAGGTAAATAAAGTATTAAGAATAGGAGTTAAATATATGGTTAATTATCGGATACCATTATTAAAGCGGGGGAAAGCATTAAATTCAAGAAATAATAACTGAAGCGAGCGACAAAAAAGCGGCGGTGTAAATCGAAGGTTTATACAACACTTGGATCTGTAGCTCTCTGCTTTATCTGTCCAAATTTTCTCAAGCAGAGAGCTAACGTTACAGTTCTGCAGCTAGCGCTGTTCATGCATGACATACCTGAATTTCAGAAGCTTTTGATGACTTTCCCACTTTTGATTTATTACGACCTATAATGTCAAAAAGAATGGTACATTTCATGATAAATGAATAGTATAAATTAAATTAAAAAGAACTGTATTACAACCAGCAACATTTTCACTATACCAACAAATCATCATGTTAACCAGAACTGGACTTTGTTAAAATTACACACAAGTATCTGTTTTATCACATATCAATTGTTATGCACAGCCCCAATATTCTATGAACTTTGAAGGGAAATGCTCTGAATATCATGACGAAAGGCGTGCAACAGCATGAACATGTTGACCATGAAATCATAGGTACAAATTGACTTACGTTCTTTCAGTCTTTTCTTAAAATCTGGGTGACTTCTACGTTTATTATCAAAATATATGCAATATCCAAGAAAACAAAGCCCAGCTCCTGCAACTGCACACTTAACAAGTGTGCTAGAATACAGATTTGACCCTACAGAACTCATTTTGTAGTATAATTCAATGCTAAAAATATCACGGTAAAATCATTGATGAGAAATATGATAAAAAGCGCACAAGAGATCAGCAAAAATCGTGCTTCTCATGAGCAGTTCGTACATTAAATGATTCTGATGAAGTTGAAAAAAAAAATAATTTTAAGAAAAAATATACAACTAAAGAAAAATAAGACAAGACTTAAAGAGTATGTTTCTTAAAATAGATTCAGAGCCAAATCTTTACACTAAAGGCATATCTATAACTATAAAGTACATTCATTTTTTTTGTAGTTTAAATTAGCATCAGAAATTTCCAACATTTGAAAGAAAAGTAACCTTCCTAGTTTCTACAGATTATTTACGCGGTGGCATCTTGACAATGTAGTTCTGTATCATCATATAAACTAACCACAACTTGGCATAATAGGAGGAGTTCAAAGACTGATCATGTGTGCAAAGCAATTATTTTAATTTTGAGTATCCAGGGAGACTGCAGACAAATTTACCCGTCTAGTGCATGGTGTAAAATTAAGAGGACCGAACATTTAACGAGATTTACATTTTATTATAGTTATTAAAAAAATAGTATGACCAGACATCAGATAACTAATCAACTCGCAAAATGATGATCCTAGTAGAATAGAAAATAGACACCCCCACCCCCGGAAACTAAGAACTCCAGCATTCCTTATACATATTAACAGATTAAAGTCATGCTGTACTGAAATTTTGAATTTACCGGGTGGCAGTAAATACAAAATTTACAACATGACAACTAGTTTTGTATTTACTGCCACCCGATAAATTCAAAATTTAAATGAAATTAACTTCAATGTACATGTGCATCGAGTCATTCTCTGTAACCATACCTCTTATGTATAGGAGCCGTGACAGAGTCACTTCAAACTTGCTATAAATAATTGAGTATAATAGAGGTATTTAATACCATAAACTTATATCACGCAAATAATGGTTGCTATGCATGTTTATTGTTGCCATGACAACAATCCCTAAATTTTTAAAACAAGTTCAGAATCCCATTAATAACGTTTGCATCAATGTAGAACACTGACAGCGATAGTTTCATTCATTATTTTGATTACACGTGCATACATTTAAAACATTAAAGCAATCATAAGCTAAAATGAAAAAGGTGAAGATAACGAACAGTTATCGATCTCAAAAAAATCTACAAACAATACTAATTTGTGGACAGGGCATAAAAAAACGGGCCCTCGGAAATTATAGAGGTGGGATCACGTGCCTAAAAGGAGCACCTCGGCCCTGTTGACCGGTCAAACCAGTCGTGAGCCCTATGTATTGATCAGTTAGACGGAGCATTCCGTAGTCAAATTTAGTGTAAAAACAAATCCTAACAATTTGGTAGGAAACACGTCAGCCAAAATACGCCCAATGACTTTATGTAACTATATACATGTAAAATAGAAAGATCCCATTCATTATTATAAAGAAGAAATGTGATATTATATATTAAGTCACCATAAACCCTAAACGGAATACATGTATCTAATTTTTTTTTAAATATGTTGGATAATTTGTTGACTCCCAACCTCCTTTAAAGTTTACACAATTGATACAATGAAAAAGAAGTAACACATGCAAAAAGGAAAACTGAAATCAAAGTTCTTCTAGCATGGTAATGTATTCATCATTAATTTTATGAACACCTAAAGTATATAGCCGTGATTTATCCACTAAAAATACAACATTCCCCCTCCAGGTTGTAAGAAATACTCCTTATCAACAAAACAGAGGTCTTTATTTTAGAAATGCGCGGATCCAGAGTCCGGACCCCCCCCCCCCCCCCTGGAATTTGCAGAGGTATTAAAAGTATATACTGAAGCAAATAAAAAATGACTTTGGACCCCCCTAGAAAACGTGGACCCCATCATCACCACCACTAAGTAGGTGTTTTTCACGTTTTGGAAATGGATTTTACGTTAATTTTGTTTTGTTTTTGTTTTTGTTTTTTGTTTGTTTGTTTTTGTTTTATTTTATTTTTTTAATGCTTGTCAAGTAATTTACTGGATAGGGAAGGGAATTTAGATTTTTTTTCTTGTCAAGGAATATTTTTGGGTTTGAAATTTCTTTTGACTGGGTACGTAGACCCCCCCCCCCCCTGGCCAATTCCTGGATCCTCGCCTGTTAGATTAGATCCAAGCTAGGGTCTGGACCCCTTTTTGGCGGACATAGATTTAAAAAAAAATCATTGTTATTTCAGAGAACAACACAGTTCATTAAAATATGTCTGAATAGGAATTAAGTCTTCAAAGTTTCACTAGGTCTTCCTAAGATGTTACCATGGTTACTTACACATGGGGTGGAGGGATGAGAAAACTGGCTTTAGAAACGCAGGCGCGGATCCAGGAATCGAAGTTAGGGGGGCAAAAAGTAGGAAGGGGGTCTGGGGGCCTTAAGGCCTCTAGTGGGTACAGCTGGGTTTTAGAGATTTTGTAGGGTAAAAATGAGGTCTACTGAGTAGATAATTTTTACATTTTCTCGACTAAACTATGATTTACGCTAACTTTGACAGTTTTAGGGGGCGCGCGCTGGGTGCCCCCCCTTAAATCCGCCACTGAAACGATTAAGGGCTATGTAATTTCTGGATTCGCCTATGAGCTCTGTATTTTAACAGTGTTTAAAGGAAAGGTTGTAAGTTGGAAATATTTAATCTATTATAATTTGTGTGAAAGGAAAATAGAAAGTTTATATCCAATTTACGGTCATGATATCGTATTTAAATTTCCCTCTCAAATTTGCTATTCAGACTCAAATCTCGCCTAATCTCGTCCTCTTTACCACATGACGTGATAAAACTGCACAACTGAACTAGCAACCTATATTTCTGTTAAGAAAGATATTGTTTATCACCCTGTCTTTTTTGTATGGATTACGAAAGTATTTCATTCGAATACCAAACTTGTTAGCGGTGGACATGAACATAATTTTTACGGCATAGTATTTGGGATTTAACAGAACGAGACCGGTTTTGTGTTACCACGGATTTGACAAATATGCATATGTAGAAGCCATGATGTTCTCGTAAAAGGCAAAACAATTGATAACTTATGTACATTATCAAGGTTTTTTCTTCGGCGTAAGATAAACCATGTCTGCAAGAGCGGTAGATCGTATAGATCCATTCACTAGCAAAACTGCAGTGAAGTCGAAAAAACAAAAACGGTCTCAAGGCTCGTCGCATTATCGGACCAAAAATGCCCCCGAACTGCAAGCATTACCGCAGTTGAAAGGTAAGGCCCATCCCAATCTCTGGCCCTTACACTTCGACAGATCACCACAAATGTGTAGCTTTTATCACATTTATGTAGAATCGTAATTGAATTAGCATTAAAAGCTGCATTCCAGAGTGATTCTTGGCAGACATGTCCATGGATACTGAAGGTTCTAAAATTTCAAGTGTGCTCCATGCTGCATTTATTTTTGTTACATAGAACCATTGTTCAGATGATGTTCAAGTTAATGATCTTGTCACCTTCTCTATCAGAAAGCCCAAATGAATAAAACTAAAAAGATGTAAACTGGCTCTAGTTGTGCATCAGTCCAGATGTATATCTCTATAGCAGCTTCAACTTTTTTTCTTCATTGAAACACTGTCTACTTAATCAGAAATAGAAAAAAAATGATTACTTAATTCTCAATGTTAATTCAAAGGGACTAAATTTTTGGTAATTATATGTACATATTATGAAGTACTTTAAAAGTTATGTATCCATGGCAAGCAAATATAGCAGCCATCTAAAACAATATTTCACTTCTATTACAGGATGACTTTTTTTTTTCATATCAACATATTAGAAATGTGAATTATTAAGGTAAATAGGGCTGTCACAGTTCCCTGTGTTAACCCAAAACTGCAGTCCAAGTTCAGTACAGGTTCTGTTGTTCTGTTCCATTTGTCCAGATTTCGGTTCAGGTTTGCATATATTAGAATCTGTTTTATACAGTAAGTGGCATCAAAATCATAAGAATGTGATAAATGAACATCATAACTGAAATTGACTTCATCCATACTTAACACTTGTCACAAAAAGATGGGATAATTATCAAAACAATAATGAGTGGTCATGTCACTAATAGTTGGCCTGGTATTCCTAAACAGCAGAGACATATAAAACATTGTCGCTGTAAACACAGATGTGAAGACTTTAATATGGCTAAGACTTGTTTTTAAAGGTAATTTTGATGCAACAAAGATCTATCAAGTTTAATTCATAAAATTAAGTTAAAAATAAATGTAAAGAACAGAACTAGAAAGAAAACCCAAAACCGAATAGAAAATTTACTGAACTGATCCAACCCGAAAAATTTTGGAGCTGTGACAGTCCTAAAGGTAAACCATCAATATTTGAAAATATTTTGGACCAGAGAGTGTGTTTTTATACAGAAGTGAGATAATAAAGTGTATGTCAAAGCTCTGGTATGATATACATACTTGAAATTATACTTACCTTTTTTCAGACACTGTACCTGCAGAGCAACAAGAATTGTTCATTAAGAAATTACAGCAATGTTGTGTTGTGTTTGACTTTATGGACCCTGTATCTGACCTCAAAAGTAAAGAGGTGAAACGAGCATGTCTTAATGAACTTGTGGATTACATCACAGCTACTCGAGGTGTTCTGGCTGAACCTGTGTATCCAGAGGTCGTCCGCATGGTGTGTATCTTAATAATTTTAATATTTAAACACATTAAAAGCATGTTCTGGTATCTAAGGGTAAAATGAAGACTGAATTGACTGCTCTTTTAACTAAGGAGGTGAGTCATTCATGTAAACATGTAACAAGAGTTTCAAATTATGTAATGGTCATGTTTAGCAAAAGTATGAAGTTTGTGTGAGATTTTCTTATTCAAAGGCAGAGAATTTTGTATTCAGAGCGAGAGTTACGATTTGTGAGTTAGTGCAGGTCCAGTTCTTGATGTTTCCTCCTTGAAGAACTGTGCATATGATCTCAAGTCATACTGTGGATTGTAGACAACAACGACTTCAAATCATTC